TCACGTTTTAGTGTATTTATATAATTACTGAATTTTTTAAAACATTATTTAATTAAATATTAATAAACAATCTTATTGTTGCGGTCATTAGCGACCATCATAGCTGACTTAATATCCTGGATCCGCCCCTGCAGGTAGCCACAACGCCTTGGATGCAGTGGGTTCGCCCACGAACACTATCACAAGTTGCAGTGCCACAAGTCTCATCACATAAAACTGGTTGGGTAAAGGAAAAGAGCAAGAACAAGAAGAACGGTGCTAAGGTTTTCATATGGATTAACAAACAAAATCCGACATAGTTTTCTGCTAGCAAAGTTCTCTTCGGAATAAAAACAAACGCCTCATGACAGATTCCTGAGTGCAAGCTTTTTATTCAGTTGAAAAAAACACAGATTCTTCGGGAGTGGGAGAGGAGGTATTTGATTTAGCACGTAAGAATTGATTCTGGGACAATTTATTTAAAGTTTAACAGTGCCAAGAAAAATTGTGCCAATCAAATTAGGCTATTTGGCACTTGGACTTTCTAGACAAGTAGAACTTCATTTTCAGAACAAGATAAAAGGAGCCCCTGTTTTACAATTGTCATTTCAAATTTTATTTTATTTTTTTCTACAGTCTCATTTCTCAATCATATATTCACACAATAAAATATTTTACACGTAAATTCAAAATTTTTTATACTTTTTAATCACATATTCTTAAAAAAATCCCTATTCAAAACTCAATTTTGTCCAAATAATGATGTCAAATAGAGACTAAGAAAACCTTAAAAAACTAGACGAAATTGATTGATAGGGTTCAAAAAAATCAACTATAATGCATGAAATAAATTATATTACATGAAGTAATATAAAATTACCATTTTACCCTTTAAAATTGGAAAATAAGATAAAGTTTGAAAAGTTTGGGATTGTGGATGATACAAATAAGAAATTTGAAAATAATCTACAAAAATAAAAAGTTTGAGATCACAATTACAATTATTCATTTTTAATGGGCAATTTTTATTTTTATTACTATTTTTAACATCTAAAGTTCCGTACCTAAAAGGTCATATAAGGAATTTTTCGCCAATATGAAACAATAAGTTGTATGTTGTTAGAATAATAACTTGACGTAATTACTAAGATTGAATTCAAGTTATCCCCCATTTAAGCTCTATTTTCTAAAAAAATTGTTTTTTGCAAAATCATTTTTTAATCACATGTTATTTCAATAAAATAATTTTAAACATAAAATTTAAAAATTTTTCCTACCTTCCTACCTTTTAAATACACATTTAAAAAAAATCACCGTTATAAAGCCATTGTTTTGTACCCATTATTTTCAAAAAATATTTTTATTTCAAAAAATAATATTATAAGCACATTCAAAATATTTCTTTATTTTTTAACTACACATTCTCTATCAAATCACCATTCC